TAGGTCTTCACTAATCTCTTTTGAACTCTAGACCTTTTTTCCACAACAATCTGTTGGCCGTTCTACCTGCATTCTAAGTGTTTATCCCAATAGAACTCACAGCTCCTTCCATTCCACATATCCAGAATACCATCTCCCCATTTGCCTTGGCCCCAAATCTTTGTATTATTTTCAATTAAACATCTCAAACCCATATATAAATAACCACAACGTGCTAAAATTTCCAATCTGCAGTACTTCCTTCAACCCTTTGCATTTTTACTAACCCTCAAGCTAGTCTAAAACCTTTGGTTTCCATCTTCTAATGGCCTCCTTAGTCTCTGTCATTTTAACTTGCAATTTCCCCACATGACTATAATCTAACTTAGTGGCTCTTGGCTGGCTGGGCTTTAGAATCATGAGTGCTTGTGAAACAAAAGCCAAGGCCCATTCCCCGAGGTTTTGGTCTAACCATTCTGGGGGAATATGTGTCTACTTTTGCTCACTGTTGGTGGTGGTATCTCTCCTCTCATGATTTAATCACGGTACATATTAGGCTGAGAACCACTATTAGCCAAACTCATCAAGCACCTACTTTTCTTGTATCAAATTTACTCAGTAGTTTTTATCTGGTTCTCTTCTCAAGGCAAATATTTTCAGCTGTGGACTGCCCTTAATCCACTGTGCTCTAAAAAGTTTGTTCAATTTTATTGCTTACAAATTAACCTAAAACTTTCATTCAACCCCTACACTCCTCCAGCCAACCTCTCCTTTCTTCCTTCCAGCCATTTGACACACAAGTTGTCTTTTTAAAAGTTTGTCATCTAGATCATGACCTTAAGTAACTTCTCTAAATATGTATTTCTCAACCCTAAAAGACTAGATTAGATGACCTTTAAATTCTTTCTATATGAAAATTATGGTTTTTCTGATTCTTTTATCAAAATAAGTTCTCAGACTACTGGTGAATAATGGTTCCGGTATACTCTAGATAAATATCCATTGCAAAACAGTTCTAAGTTTTCTGATAGCTTTTGCAATGAGAATTATTATGGTATCACCTGAAAGATAGGATCAAACTTTTTAATAATGGAAAACAATATTTAATGCTTTTTAATCACTATAATACAAAATGCCAGAAAAATTATTATGAACTATTGTCACATGAGTTCTTAAATCTACACACCAAGTTACTATTACCTTTCACAAGCTGATTAATTTGTGCTATCACTACCTTATCAACCTGGATGGAGCGCATACTTGCCTTTCCAACTAAATTGTTAATTTTAATATTAATGTATGAAAAATAATGGCAATGAAGTTATTTGTTACTTATTCCTGATACCTAAATGCAAAGAATATGTGCAGAATAACATTTCTTAAACTACAGACACATTAATTAAGAAGCAGACTTTCAGATAAAGGGAATGGTAATGGTTAATGTGCAACAGAGAGACACTATACCAGCTGCTAAGAAAAGTAAATCCTGTATCAGATGAAAATGCTCTGGCTCCAATCTAGCTATCATGCAGTTTATCTTCTCAAGCCTTGCCTTCCCCCCACCTACATTCTCAAAATGGAAATATCAAGCTAAACAAATCAGTTCTAAAATTACCTAATAAAATCACCCAAGGAGCTTTGAAAATACAGAATACCAGGCCCCTCCCCTGGAGATCTTTCTGATAGTGCTGAGCTATGACACAGACTTCTGAATTTAAAATTTTTTAACTAGTGGCCTATTTATTGTCATATATGGTTGAGAAACATTAAGATAAACAGATCTATTTCTAGCTCTAAAATTGTATTGTATATAGAATAGTACAGACAGCAGGTTTTTAATAAGTATACCAAAATGGCATAGTAATAAAGAATATGAGAAGAACCAATAACTCTAAGTATAAGCTATTTTAACTACTTAGTAAAACTAGAAAAGGTAGGCTTCCAAATATCAATTAATTTGCCAAAAGAATTTTGAAGTTTTATTTTCAAGATGTTTAAAAGCTAAAAACTCTTGTTGAAACTAAAAATGTATGACGGAAGTTTGGATAGAGTTTAAGATGAGAACAAGACCTTTTTTTCTGTTTAATATTTCAGTGCTTCAAAACGGATTTTTTGGGGGGTATAAAAACCTATGCATAAAATCTGCCATGAAATATGTCACTATTTTTAAAAGGAAATAATTAGGAAAAGGAGATAATTTCTAAAATTAAATCAATCCTTTGGGAATTAGTTCTCTGAATTTGATTCCAATGTCAATTTCAGGCTAAAAACTAATTAGCTTTTAACTTGTTTCCTTTTACTTTAAAAACCACTGGTTTTTATTTTTGTTAAGCAAAAACTGGAATGCTCTGTGGTTTGGATTTTGAAAATCATATGCTTATTGTAACACTAAATATAGAGTATTTAAATATATTAATCTTTAAATATAAAGATGCACCTTGGGCCTTCACAAAAAGAAACATATCCACTTTGTCAGATTTCATTTCCTGGCTACATTACATTTTATAAACTCCATTAACAGGAAACTACTCAATTATAGAAATCCTGTACTGGTTTTATTCACAATTAGATTATCTAAATAAGTAAGACTTCTTTGAAATATAAAAATTGGCATTAAGAAAGAAATCATTCAACAAAAACATCCATTCTGTCACAATGTACTGGTTGGGGAACAAGGAACAAATGTGTGGAACAACAAGGTTTGCCCATCTATTTGATATGTCATTTCTCATTTAGGAGTACTGTATTAAATAAACGAGAGTGGTATTTTAAGAAAGTTCAGCTCTTTCAAAGCCTTAGTTAACACTTTGAATGGTGATCCGTATTAAGGTTCAAAAGCCTAAGACTCATAAGCACTTAGGAGGACACACCCTAATATTTATCCTTCCCTAGGTTTAAACCATCACAGGGGAGGAAGTTCTGAATCAAAGGGTTTTTGCTTTGTTACCTGACAAGCCTTAGAAATGTGAACCTCTAACCCAGTCACTTCCAAATGCAGTCCTGATATTTTTGCAGAGTACATACAGAGCCCTAGGAGCAGCAGAGCACCATTTTAACGTCATGATTTTAATGAGTTCTCCATATAACCAGGAGTTTAAACTACAACATACCTCATTCTCATAAAAGTTATACATTTCTTTCAATAAAAGCTACTGCTTCTTAGTTTTGTTATTATAGCTACAGACAGCTCTCCCACCAACTCCTAATTATACCACGAATCTGAATAATAACAGGAAAAACCACACAGCATTTTGAGGGAGCTTATGTTTATATACTTCACTAATGAACCAAATCTCAAGGAAATACTGTAAATATTGAGATCAGTGATAACATCACATAACTTAAGTATGAGAAAATACTCAAGTTCATGTTTTAAAATGGTATAGATTATGAAGTCGCCTTTGAAAGCAAACATTCAATGCAAAAATTCTTTCAAGAAAGAAAATATTTATCAAATGTCATGCTGCCCACCAATAGGGTTGAGCTTGACAGTAAAGCATTACAAGTTCCTACCAATTATATCTTGTCTGTATAAAGCAGGAACGAAGCTTATTTATAAAGAATAAATACTACTAAATTAGTAGACCATCTATGAACAATGACCAAAACCAAAAGCTGCATAAGAGTTTTGATAAACTGAGTTCAAAATATGCTAACATCTTATTTTCAAATGTAAATAGTTATTCTGAAATGCAGATAACTACTGACAATATCATGCAGCCAATAGGGAATTGGTGGGGACCGAGTCCAAGGACACATACAATTAAAAATTTTATCAGACCTAAAGATGCTAGCTATGGGTGGTTGATTGAAAAGTACAGTATAAGAATATTTAACCTATGAGAAGTTTTGGACCCAGATTTCTTACTCCACCGGACATGAACAAGTACAACTTCATCAGATCACACTGAGTACTTATTAAAGGAAATTTAAAAGGAGGCGTAGAAATTTAATTTATAAAAATCTGATGATGTGAACTACTCCCTTGGTACATTCCAATTTCCAAAAACTTATGGCTACGTCCCATTTCAAAAAACTATGACAAAAATGAAACCTCAGGCTTACAAAACAGCCAAAGTAGGAGTCACTGTTACTTTTTCAAAACTTTTTCACTTTAAAAAATAATTCACTTGGGCAGTTGATGAAACAAAATTTGGGTTTCAACATTTTAACTAATATACTTTCCAGGGAATATCAAGCTTATAATTCAGATCATCAGTGTTGAAATTTAACATCCAAAGAGAAAGAAAACGGGGTGCATGAAAAAAAGTCAAAGAAAATAATAATATCACCTTAATAGTAGAGGTAAACAAATGAAGAAACCAGGAGACAGTTTCATTAGTTAATATATTTTCTGCATTATAGTTAACATAAGTACTTTCTTCGTGTCACTTTATTTTCTGTTAAGTATTGATATTTTGTTATATTCAGACATGAGTACATTTCAACAGTCTTTTGCAATAAATATCATAAAATAATAGAGATCCGCATAATAAATATTCTTTACAATAAAAAAGTTTAACAGATTTTTGTCTTAAAAATAGTCAGAATTCAACTTTGTGATTTATACATATAATATACAAAAAGCACCACAATTTGTGGTTTAAGGCAATGAAAATACAGAAGAGATTGGCGTTACTCAGCTGTTAACTAACCAAGGGGCCATAAGGACCATTATGGAGCCAAGATCTCTAGGCAGCATAGTTCAGTGACACCTATAGATTGATCAGCTACAAATTTCAACTTCAGTTATCCAAATGCCCGCAATGGCAACAAAATTTGGTGATGAACGTGGGGTATGAAAGGAAGGTAGTTGAGTCCTTCACAAATATGAAAGCTAGAATAGGAGTGAACAAGTTACTAACAATACATCTCCAATGTGAAGACTTACACTGCAAAGCGAGATCTAAAATTACACAGAAGGCAAGGGGAGGGGGCATCAGCTGGCAGAGGAAGGTGTTACCAAAACTGAGAACAGACTGAGGGACCAGAAAAAGAGAGGGCAGCGCTTAAAGGAAAATTTTTGTTATAACAAAAACATATTCTCCCATTCTATTTACTGGTCCAACGCTAGGAAGACAGCTCTAATTGAAGATAAATGGAATACATAGCTTATGAAAACAATTAAATGGTTGCTTCTTTGAAAACCAATTTCCTTGCTCACCCAGTACCCAATCAAAAACAGCTCTAAATCCTGTTGTCTGAGTGGGTGTCTTATGTTCACGTACACAACTTTGGAAAGTTGCCTGCAGAACAAAGAGGCCACACAGAAGCCCAATGGCTCTCAAAACTCTCTCAAATGGATGGCAAAGACTCTTGTGACAAGTGGGAGCCAGGTGCAGTTTCACAGTCCACTCTCGCAGAAGATCGTCCAGAAGAGACGAGTAAAATCCAGAAGTCAAACTTTGGGAACAGGGGAAGAGAAGACAGGGAACAGAGAAAAACTCTAAAGACAAGAAAATCAGTATCTAATAGTGTATTTTCTAACAGTCACGGCTGTAAAGCTAGAAGTTTAGGAGGTCCAGCCCACCTCCAAAAATCATGATGGTTTCCCCTGACCCCGGGAAGGGCAGCTCTCCAGTTTACAATAGACAGTGTTGGAGTTCTTACATCTGCACCCTGGGCGATGAATCCAGTCATAACACCCCCTGCACAGCTTCAGGCATCCCTTAGCAGGAGGATAACAGAGTAAGCAAGGTAAAAATAGAGACATTGCTCCCATACACAGATATCTTGAGCAGCAGTGTGACTGCGAACAGGAGCAAGGATTATCCGAGTAAGAATCCCCTTCATCATCATTGGAGCAGTGGTAGAAGATGCCTTTGACTAAGCACATGCAGGTCCCATATTCCACCATGCTCTCAGCAGAGCACAGGCATTGCCGGTTGCAGGCCAAACAGGATGGCAGGGTCCTGGGAGCTGTACATTCGCTACACTTGCACTTCCCACACTGTTCACAAATGAACTTGTGCTGAGTCAGGTCCTCTTTCAAGGAACCCTTCAAGTCATCCACAAGTAGTTGTTTGGGCTGGGTCCGGATTGCCCTTTCAGACCTATGACCAGGAACTGGTCTGGCTGGCGGTGACCTTCCTAACAGCCCCTGCTCAGAAGAGGCACTGCTGTTGCTCCCAGAACTGGCTGCACTTCCAGTGCTGGTTGATCTGCTCAAAATGGGGCCCCTGGCATTGCTTGGGAGTCCTACATGTCCCAGGTGGCTTGTAGGTCTATGCTCATAGTTGTTATTCACATTAATCGGAATGATTTCATGAGTCCGTTCGTGCTTTTCTTGTCTTGGTGCTGTCCTCGGAGCAGGTCTTTTTACCACTGAAGGTCCTTCTGTGTACTCATTGCTGCCTCTGATGGCCTTAATCTGGTCTAAGGACAAAATAGCAGCAGGCTGAATCTCTCTCTCATAGTCTAATCTCTGATGGCCATCCAAAGAAGGCTGCTGGATCACAACCAATGAACTGCCACTGCCATGTTGATTTTGGGGATCCATGTGTAGTGATCTTGAATTCTGGCAATCAGTGGAAACCTGGCATGCATCTGAAATCCTAAAAAAGAAACCAAAAATGAAAACAACCAAAACAAAACAGAGAGAGAGAGAGAGAGAGAGAGAGAAAAAAGAATAAATGACAGGAAGCATTTCAGGGAGGGGGGAAATCCTGTCAAGTCACAAATTGCCTAAACCACCTGGTAAGGATCTCCTTCATCAGTGGATTACAATGATGCTGGGGTCCTGGCTAGAATCCAATTCCAAGAGAGGCTGTGGACCACATCACACAAGAATATAAGCAAGAGATCCTATGCCATAAAAATTAAAAGTTTTTCCAGTTTTAAAAAAGTATAATCAAGAGGGAAGTAGTCTTCCTCTTTATGAATCTAACAAAAATTAAAATGAAATATGCCTTCGAAGGGAATACTGAATATAAGACTGCAATAGGCCTCATCTAAAGAAAGCTCACTGTCAGTTTATAAAGGAAAATGTGTATTTTTTAAAACTTGAGAATAGCTTTGTGCTGTTGCCTCTTTATCTGTATGGTGTTACAAGTTGCAGATTAAGGATGAGGAAGTTAACCAAGGCATTTTCCAAAGAATTAAAAGTATTCCATACTAAAATGGAATCTCAAAATAAGAGGTCGTTTTCAGTAGAAATCAGGATTTAAGCTAGCTCATTACTTATCTGGGGAACGCAATAACTATGAGGAACACAATAGTTCTTGGTGTTTTACATGCACTAACACACAAACAGTTCAATGTACCATTCTGTGAATAACAGAGTATTCATATTTCAAATCATGAAGTGACTTTAAGAGCTTAAATCAGGGTACAGTCATATAACAAGATAACTTTTAGGTTCAAGTGTTAGGCCTTCAAAGCAATGTGGGGAAATTTTAGCTGCTGTAATTATCACTATTTCTTCTAACTTAAAAAATCTATTCATATGACAGATCTACATCTTGATTTTCAAAATCACCAAGACTTGTGAATCAATGTACTTCTTGTAATAATAAGTCCACTAATATCCTGATATAAAATAAGCATGTTTCTCTACTAATAGTAAACTACTTCTAATCTGTAATGGATTATTCATAAAACCAATTACCAAATTCAAAAATGTTTCCATTTACAGTTAATGGTAGATTAGAATATATTTCACATAAATTCCTTTCAAAGTCTACAGATATAACCCAATTTAAGACTGAAAAAGAAAAAAGTGTCCAACTCCACTAGTACTGTGTACCAAAAAACACCGTGTGAAGGAATAGAACAGAGAGAAACCCATTATTAACTAACTAAAGTCTCCAGATTATGCCTTAGATGTTAACTTCTTGTGGTTCCCCCTTCCATTCTACCTTCTCTGCACGCGAGGGAAAAAAAACGTATCACAACCTGCTGAGTATACTCCTACAGTCCTTCAGGACTTATGATCCTTAGAAACGTCAGTTCAGTTCATTTACGCCTGCAAACCCCATCATTCCTCCTCACCAAACACTTTGCAACTCACTGCTTTGAGAGCAAAGAGCATTTAGAAGTACTAAGTCAGATCCGCAGTAAGAAAAAGAAAAACCAGCGGGGAAAACCTGCCGAGTGTAATCAAAACCACCAGGCACAACTTTAATTTCTCATTTCACATGAAAGCTGTAACGAAGCTCACGCTGGCTGGTAAATTAAATTGCTAGGTAAAAACATGCAAAACAGCAAAGAAAATTCACCACCTCTGATGCGAAGAAAAACCCATCTTGCACCAATGACAAGCCCTTGATCTATCTCCAAACACGCTCACGCGCTCCCGGCACAGGCTTCCCCCAAAAACACGAGAACGAAAAATCAATACCTTTCCGGACAATCCCATCGCACGCTAAGGATCTCGGCGGGTTCCTCACACGCTTTTTCGAATTGCCCACCCAGGCGCGCGTCAGATCCTAAGGCGCTTTCCCCGTTCAAGCGAGCGCCAGAAGCAAGCCCACGGCTTGGCTGATTATAAGTCAAATTATTTTAAAAAGAAGCCTATCCTTTAAAGGAAAAGCTTGATACATCAAGGGCCGGGGAGAAGCGAGCCGGGGCAGAGGCGGCGGGCGAGCTTCTCCACATTGCGAGTTAGGACGGGAGCGCGGCGCCCTCTGCAATCCGCGCGGAGAAGCAGTGAATAAATAGTTGACGGAGAGGAAGGAAAAGGAAAAAGTTATGAATGAAAACAAGTTTTCTCTCTCTCTCTCTCTCTCTAGCAGGAGGAGGGAGGGGGCGGAGGTTACCATTACCTCAGGAGGGCGGACTTTCCCATTTTTAAAGTGGCAGCGCCCTCTCCCCTCCCTCGCCCTCGCCCTCGCCCCGCTCTCCAAACAAGAAAGCTGAGGCGGACCAGGGGGTCGCGGGCGGGTCCCCGGGGGCACCTCCTCCACGCGCG